TTTCTTTGGGACCTACACTTAGATGCCCTGCATCCAGTCGGCCGGAAAAGACGCGGTGTCCCAGATATTACAGAATAGTTGATGCAACATTTGTGCGGATAGCATGGGGTCAGCTTTGAGCATCTCTGCTGATATGCGATCGACCCCTGGAGCCTTGTTGGATTTCATGCTTCGGATAGCTGCTTCAATCTCCTGGAGTGATGGGGCCTCGGAATTGACGCGAGTGATGCGCCGCACCCTAGGCGGATCATGCCGAGATGTTGATGGCTGGTTGGCCGTCGAAACTTGAAGAAGTTGTTCGAAGTGCTCAAACCAGCGTTTCAGCTGGTCAGTGGGGTCGGTAAGCAATTGTCCAGTCGTGTCTTTCACTGGCATCCTCGGGTTCATCCTTGCTCCACTCAGGCGACGTGAGATATCGTAGAGGAGGCGTATATCGCCTTGCGGCTTTCTCCCCTTCGTCGACCAGGGAGTTCACTCATAGAGGTAACTATAAGACCAGAAGGTCCCGAAGAAACGTGTTCAACTTTTTGGCTCAGCTCTTGTACTATCTTCGGTCCCAAGCTCATCGATGCACCCCTCGAAACATAGGAAAATCCGCGAGCCCCTCATTTTATCTGTCAAACTTTCATTGAGAATCAAAACAAACATAGTGTAGTACTGGAATTTAGACTGGAATGGGGTACGTTAATCGATTTGCTTGGGACCAATAGGCTAGTCAAGTAGTGAGCCAATTTAAAATCGTTACTTTCCACCGGTTGGTTCACCCACGCTCGCTTGTCCCGTCTGCAAGCGTCAAGCGTTCCTTCTCTAGAGCCGAGTACTGTCGACGGGCTTCGTTCTTCGCTCCTCTGGTTCTCGCCCGCTCTACCGCGGCTTTTGCTTATCTACGCTCCTCAATTTTCCGCTAGGTTTCATCTGTGATTCACTCTTTCTTCTGGGTGCTAAGCTCACCCAAGTTGTTCTCGCTTGTTTCTATAAAGGCATTCTTGATGGCCGTCCATTGTTCTTCTACGCTGCCACCTTCTGGAACGTCCGCAGCTCGAGTCTCAAGTTCTTCAACAAAAGACCTTTTTACCGCTGGATCTTCAAGTCGGCGTGTGTTGAACCGCCGCCCGAGTCTCTCCTCCCGTCGCTGGATCCACGCCATGCGTAGGCGGATTTCACCAATTAGAATTTTGATGGTCAGACGCGATGTCGGCGCTGCGTTTATTCCGGAAATCAAGAAGGCTCCGTCTCCATTTTCGGCTGATGCAGATGTGGTCGATCTGATTTTCGGTATGTCCATCACGGGAAACCCACTTGACTTTGTGCACTGGCCGATGGGGGAAGAGCGAGCCCCCGATCACCATGTCGTTATTGCCACACAATTCTGCAAACAGCTCACCGTTCTCGCTCATTTCGCCAAGACCATGGCGTTCCATGACACGCTCATAGTCCGTGTTGTCCGAGCCGATCTTCGCATTGAAGTCGCCAGTGTAGATCTTGATGTCACGCTTTGGAACCTTATCCACGACGGCATTCAGTTGACTGTAAAAAATCTCCTTGTCCTGTAGCTCGGCAGCATCGGTTGGCGCATAACATTGGATTATGGTAAGGTTACGAACCCGTGTTCTAAATCTGGTAACGATTATCCTCTCATTAACAGGCTCCCACTTGATGAGCGCAGCACTTGGCTGGACGCTAAGTAGGAGACCAACTCCACGATGGCGGGGAGCGTTTTCACCTCGAATACCAGAGTATAGTAGTACCTGTCCCGACGGCAGTTTGTGTTCCCCAAAGTTTGGCCAACGAACTTTACATAGTCCCAGGATTTCTAGCTTCATGCGTCGCGCCTCGTTGGCGAGTTGTGCCAGTTTACCCTGCTGTGCTAACGTCAATACATCCAATGATCCATGATCCAATTCGTGTCCGTTGTTTTGCGCTAAAAGTCGTTGCCGTTAAATCAGTTCGATGTCTTTCTCTGTTGGTTTCTGTAACAATTTTAAAGGTTTCAGAGACAGTAGACACTTTTCAATAGGTCCTATCTACATTGATCGATTCTCTTCATCGACACTCTCTTTCGTAAATAACTCGGCTTCACAAATCTTTCCTGCCGTCTTCGTCGAATTAGATGCTAAATTGTTGCTTCTTCCATCGAAAATATCCGACCGTGGCGATTCAAAATGGATCAAGGTTGATCCAAATAATTTGTACCCCTGCTTCCAGTTTGATTACATGAGCATTTTGTGTGGTCGTTGGTTCTGAATATGGACAAACAGGCAGATGAATTCTATTCCTACTATTTACTGTAATAAGCTTGGTGGCCCTGAAAAGAGCCGTTTTGTTGCCAAAGTTGGTGATGATTTAACCTCCGAAACCAAACAGAGTGCGCCTCTGTCACTTCAAAACGTAGATGACATCCATGGCCGCTTACGCTTGGAGTGTTTAGTGTAGATGACAGCATTACGGATCTCATTTTTCAGGAACACCTTCAGCACACCTCGTAAATCAGACCGGAGATACGTCAGACACCGCCACGGCGTGCCAGACGACGGATGGTGGTTATCTCGAAGAATTTGCGTTTTTTTTATGAATATGGCGATGAGTGTGCAAAATATTACGCAATTCCATCCTCCCTATTCGCACGCGCCCGAGGATCGGAGGCGAATACCACTTCGACTTGTTTCGTCTACTTACTACTTTCTGACGACTGTGCTGGGGAAGCAGCATATGCATGTAGGTAATTGGTGGATTTGTTAGTTAATTCGACGCTTTTGGACAATCCTGGACATTTACCAGTTTTTCAATAGTTTCTTGTTGAGAATCAACATTCAAAAGCATTGTTATCGATGCGTAGCCATATTTCTGATCGATTGGTGATAAAATTATTGAAATTGGACAAGGGGCAGCTCAGTTATTACCTTTCTTTCTTAATTTGTTACATGTGCCATTTTCGGTTTTCACAAAGTGTACCCCCATATAGAAATCAAAGACATAGTCCTACGTCAAAAACACTTAGTCATGATAGTACTGATCAGAAAGGCATTACAAAATTATAACAACTAAAGTTATATATTTAACAAAAAAAATATAACAGAACGTGTAATAAAAATTGGCTGGTTAGATGTTAAAATAACAAAAATCGTAACAAAAAATCGTCCAGTGGTAACAAACATTTAACTGACTTTTATATGATTAAATACAAAAAATTGTTACAAATTTAGATATAATCTATAGCATTCAAAAATATACATCTATAACAACCGTTGTTGTGAATCAGAATAAAATTTGCCGTATTTCTGGCAATGGTTAGGCCATTTCTATTCCACATTTTGAATCTAAGTCAAATAATTAATTGGAATTCATCAACTGCAGGTCATTTTAATTAATTACGAGTCATTTTGCTGGCTTCTTTTTCCATAAAATGATAAAATTTGCTCCATAATGTGTGGTGCTTCATCAGCCAAAGATTTTGCAGCAGCTGGTTTGTTCTCCCGACAAATGCGGAATTACAACAACTAATCTGTTAGAAAAATAAGTTGTTTAAGTATTTCTGAAGGAATACTTAAGTTTACCCCACTTTTTCCGGCTCAAGTGGAACGCGTTTAATTGTGTTATGTGGCAGTTGAACCCGATGCTTGGTTGCCGTCGTTCGTGGTTTTCCACATGGATTATTAGAGAAGTAGGCAGCCAATCTATTTCGGATCGCGGTCGGTAGAGTTTACCGAGAAAAAAAGGAAGGTTTTATACAAGCAGAATTCTTCGAAGGATGCGATAAACGATGTTCTGAATCGGTATTTATTATCTTATTTATTCAAGGTAGACAAGACTGAGAACATCCTTTCTTTTTTCAGCAACCTTCGAGTTACGATCAATCGGCAAACTTTCATGACAACATTCGTGTCAAAGACATAATGTTTATGGCACTGATTTTTTACATAACGCACAAGCTTACCCAAGGAGGTTTGAAAGACTTTATGATAATCTTGAATATTTTCACCATAGGCAAAACGTTTCCCGAAAGCTTTACCACTTTTACTAATGCTTTCTCAGCTCCGAAAGGGTTTATTTTTGTGTGAATTGTCATTATGGGTATGTCGTATTCATGTTCAATAATGACAGCAAACTAACAACCTATTTTATTTTAAGATATGAAGCTGCTCCACAACCTGAACCTCTATGCCTTGTGGAAAACTGTTACTTTTACCATAGAGCAGCAGAGCAGATAATCTTTTTGAAATACTCCAAAGAGATAGCTGAATACGAGACACCGGTTATTACTGAAGAAATTCGCGATATAAGCCGTTTATTAGTTAAACTATCTTTGACAATCATTCGAAAATCTTATAATTTTTTACTATTTATACACATATGCCTCTAATGATCGTCACTTAGAAACAGAAAATAGTTAATAAACAAATATTTTAGAACCATTAATACATATTTTATGTACTGATAATAATTATAATTGACTTTTTATAATTTTGAAATGATGAGAAATTTTGCACAAACCAATTTTCACTTACATATCAAAATATAGCATATGTTGATATAAATATTAACCATTGATATAATTCTGTTAAAATTTTGTTACGGCCTTCTGATCGGGATGCGGTCACTTACCCAAAATCGGTTTTTTTACAATAACTTCAAATGTTGAGGGGGTTAAAACAATTTCATATGTGATTTCATGGTTTACTCGACTAAACTAACGGCCAATAGGTCACTTGAAAGATTCTTTTTTATGTCTGACACTGTGTAATCTGTTTTTTGATCACAATATTACAATATTACAACAATATTTTTTGGATATTTTAAATATGCGAAAAGTTCTCTGAGAGTGGTTTCTTATATGATTTCTTGTAGTTCAGCCATCCACTTCACCAACTTTAACCGAAAATAGCTAAAATATAACATCTGATTTCCTTCTAACATGACTGATAGGGTTTGTCTGTATCCACTTTTGGGGACAATAATTTCTTATTTAATAATAACATTTGATTTTATATTCCCTCCAACAGGGTTCTTCCTACGAGGGGTGTTCAAATCCCACGGAGGCCACTATTCGCAGTCACACCAAGCTGTCCGCTACGTCGGTGGAGTCCGACATCAGCATACGGATCCTGCGGACGCCTCACTGCAACCGATCCGAACACCTCCCGGGATCGCTGAAAAACTGTAAAATACCCCCCAACGCAGCGACACCAACGTCCCAAGCCACAACAGGTGCATCCCGATCCAAGCCCTCGCCATCCAGAGGTGATGGAAAATCAGCAGGAAAACACAAAAAGTGGCCAAAAACACGACACAAGAACAAAGGACCATCAGCGTCATCGTCGTCGTCGTCCTCGTCGGCATCGTCATCGGAGCTTGAACCTAACTCGGAAGGCTTGGCACCTCTGCTGGTGTCGAACCTGTTGGACAAGCTTTAACCGGGTGTGCAAATAGCACGATCCATTACGATTACGACCTGCTGCGAGCGAATGGTGCAAGTGAGGGGGAGTGTGGGTTGTGGGTAGCTTTACGCCAGATTTTTGGAAACTCGAAACAAAAGGAATTTTGAAGGTCAAACTTGTAAAAGCAATTCTTTTTTTTTTATTCGGTACAATGTCCAGGAAAGCAGAACAGACGAAAAAGTAGTGCAAGAAAAACCATGTAAGTATTATTGAACGGAACCTTAAGCGATGGAATTTATAGATATGTTTGCGCTTTAAATCATAAGCATGTTGGCCGTAGGGCAACCAACAGACGATACAATGTACAGAAACAAAGGTAAACTCAATCGATAATAAGTGATATACTTTAGTAAGAATAAATTTAAAAAAAAACTTCTTTTAGTTGCTAGAATGTAAAATGCGCTACGCGATGTAAAGACAACTTGAAAACTACAAAAAACTAACATGGAGTCATGATTAAGAGTGAGACAAACGACAAAAACGTGGAAAAACTCAATCCAAGTGAAAGCGCGGTCGTGGATGAACAATATAGAGTAGCATTTATTTTTATATTCTAAACTGTACAGTTTTTAATGTATGATGCAAAAGAAATCCGCAAAAGCAACCCATTTAGAAGTAGTTCCGTAAGCTAAGCTCACGCGCTTGATCAACCGATTTGGAGCGATAATTGCCAAGTGATAAATCATAATATACAGAAATAGAAAAAAAGAGGAGAATGGTGCGTGAAAAAACGGGGCAGAACAAAACCTAAGACTGTGAATATACATAACACTTAACTGTAGTCGGAAGCGGAAGTGAACGTGTGCAAAGTAAGTAACGCTTTTCATCGTGACCCCAATTCTCAGTTTGTTATATATATTTTTTGCAATTTCCACTCTTCGTTCGGTTCATCACTTTAATGGAGACAAAATTTTCTTGGAATATTGAGCAGCACGCAAGCAAGTAAACGATGCTGTAAGCAGAGGAACTGAAGGAAGTGCTAGGATGGGTGGGGTGTAACCATAATAACAGTAACAGACTTTTTTTTCGGACAAGACTTGTACGAAGTCCAGCGAGATGTTGAATGGTTTATTATGACCGGTCATAAAAACTGGAGCAAAACAGCAAAAACATAAGGCAACGATTTACGATGTAATTAAGTTAATTTAGCCTAAACGCTGGAGATTTTACGTCTCACAGCGAGTGTAAGATCAGCAGAGAGGATTGGTTGGGTTGGTATTGGATTAGGGCCAAGCTAGAGGGCAGACAGTGCTGCGTGCGGTAGGACAAATTAGATAATGACAGCAACCAGAACTGACCAGCAAAATGGCTGATAAACGATTGCGCATGGATTGAATTTACTCACTCCGGTTGGATTGTTTATGGATGTGATCGTCAGAGCCAAAGGGTGAGTGAAATTGCTCGTTTCATGTACCGTATAATTTTCCGGACGTGCGTGTCCGATACGACCAATCTTCTGGTCATGAAATGAAAGTTTTGCTTTACTGGGACGAAGATGATGGCAGTTAAACGAACGACAAAAGGAAGCTACTAAGGAGGTGCTGTAATCGTTGCTTTTGATGGAGCCACAAACTGAGCGAGCAAGAAAATATGGAGACTCACCATTGTTGGTGATTTTCTACATTGATCACAACATTAAGGCTGATAGTGATTCGAAGGTGTAAATAATAATGACAAAATTGTCAACATCTGAATGCGATTCTGAATAGTAAGTGAATGGGCTTAAAACTCTCATCAGTCGCAATTCCACGTTGGAGGCACATCCAATCCAATCCAAGCACATGATTTCTTGCAGTCACCTTGAATCCGAAGTATCTAACAAGGTAAAACGAAGAGATTGTGAAACCCCCAACCCTAAAGTAAACAACCCGAACCAACATGTATGGTACCGTGACCAGGATTCCAACAGAAAACCCGATCCCATTTTTTCAACACGTTGGAACTTAACCACAATCGCGAAGGTTCAGCGCAGAGCGTAAATTTTTTGACTGCTAAGGCTGAGTGTGAAACAATTCAGTTAATTCTATCCAGACCGTTTCACAGTGGTTGGAGATGGCAAAATTAAGATCTTAATTGAATTGTGTATAAACTATTGACTTAATCAAAACAGTGTCTTTAGAGGAATTGATCACATTAGCTTTGCCCACAATTCTATAATTAATCATGTTACCTGCGTTAATTTACCTTCAGATCACTGCTGTTGTGATGACATTTCTCGGAAATTATGCTTGCAATTAGTTCCGCTAATTGTTAACAGAGAGCACTGTGGAAACGATATGTATCGTACCTCTATCCAGCTTTCCATGCTCGGTAATGGCGGCCTGTTTGTATGAATAAATGTATCCTTCACTGTGCTTTTTGACACTAACTGGAGGGCGTATGTTGTTCCATTTTCTTCTGTTCCTGGGAGAGGGAAAGGGAAGGAGTTGAAATTCGAACATCCAGATAGTGTCAAAAAGCACAGTGAAGGATACATTTATTCATACAAACAGGCCGCCATTACCGAGCATGGAAAGCTGGATATATGCAATTAAATTAATTTCTGGAGGGGGACGACTCCGGCATAGTGGTTAAAATCCGTCCCTCTCACAACAAAGTTAGGAGTTAAAATCTCACCCCGCAAAAGTCACGAAAAACTCTAGAGTTTTAAAGTGACTTTAATAAAAAAAAACTTCTGGAGTCCCACATATTACAACATATTCTACGACAAAAATACTTTAAAAAGCTCCGCCCCTGGATGAGAAATCTAATTAACCATTTTGTCAAGTTTCTACATTCATTTTCCATCAGATGTCACTGCTGTTGTCTGCGGAGACATCCATCGGAATCTACGCATAATCTGTTTTCCATCGATTGGTCACAGGAAACAGTGCAGTGTCAAAGCATGTCCGGTACCTCTATATATGCATTTAAGGCGTATCAAATTGCAACGACTGTTCATCGTCGACCTATTTACCGGCAATGTGGACTGTCCCGAACTCCTGGAATAGATTCTATGGAACATTCCTCCCCGCAGATTTCGTAGCTCCCCGTTACTGTTAATTTAATTCCACAGAACAAACTTTGGATTCAATAATTGTTTAAATTCCAGTTTGCGTTCTTTTAATGATGTTTGTAACGAATTTGATTTTACTGTGTCCAAATATGTGTTTAGTAATAAAATAAGAGGTTTAGATTAAACATGTTTTAGTTTTAAGTAATCAGTATGTACGACGTAGTCGAAGACGGTGTGCATTAAATAAATTAAGTAATTAATATCCGAAGTCCCTCCTTTTAAACATATTCTGTGCAAACAGTACTTCGCCACTGACAATATTTACCACCGGTTTTGGTGCGGAAAGTATCTTTTGTGCAGAATATGTAAAAAAGGAAGGACTTGGGATGTTAATCTAAATGCATATATAAAGGTACAATGCAAATTTTGCAGTGTCAGGAACTCTATTTTGTAGACGGTGGGAGAAAAATTTCAAATCGAGTGATGAAACGTAGCTAGAACTATTCCACAGCCGCAGGCAGTATTTGAGCAAAGTCAAGCGCACATTTTTTGCCTGTAGATTTAAAGGCATACTTCAAATCTCCACGTACATCGTACGGGTTAGGTCAAAAGGTGTGCGTTTGACTTTGTACTGTCGCATTAATGGCCCTTCGCTCATTTTCTCATTTTCTCATCTTCGCTATTCAATTTTCATACTGCCGTACTCAAACGGAACTATCCACCTACCCTCTTCTAAGATCATTCTCTAGCTAATAAATTAGCACACCAAAGCTTCATGTTAGATAGCATTTCCAACCAACTCCGTTCAATTAAAATTAACTCTTAAACAACAATAATTTATGGTGGTCCTGATAAAAACCCCGTTTTGTCGTGATGGTTGAGATATGCCACATAACATATGTGGAACTTCATGAAAAAAACTGACCCCTTTTTTGTTTTGCCTCAGTGGTATAACTGACACAGTTGGACATCGATCTGTCAAGGACTCTTCCTCTACACAATCATGGTGTTGGTTTTCTTGAGTGAGTTTTCACGTTCGAGAAATTCACGCAAAAAGTAATGGTTTACGTTTGCAGCATTGGCCCTCACGAAAGTAAGCATTGACGTTGACGGCGACTCTGTAACTCTTTACTCCTGGTAAAATCCCATAAGCATCTGACAATCTGTGCATGAAATCTAGCGGACTTTGTCTTATCTCTTCATACCTCCAGCAAGCCGCCATTTCTTCACACAAAGATTGACAGAATAATATGGGATTTTAATAGGAGTGAAAGGGTAAGGAAATGTTCACCAAGTTTCACGCACAGATTGATGTTTGCTTATGGGATTTTACCATAGGAGTGACCCAAGAGGTAAATTTTCAATAGTGAAGGTGCGTAATGAGATGTAAACAGGTGATGCCCAGATAATTTGTCGTCTCTTTTGTTCCTCCGCTGCCTAAATAGGGTAGAGCGCTACTTCGTCGTAATCGCCCATTTCCGTTGTATCGATCAGAAAAGATCAATAATATCAATGCTTTCACCGTGCACAAATTAATAATAGGTTTGTTCCGATGCGCTAGTTCATTAGCTACAACATAAACCCTGTTAGAGCGCATTGTTTGAATATTTACGCTCATTGTTCTCAAAACAAAAGAAGCGCTCCTAGCGAATCCCCTTTTTATACGTTTATCCGTAGGACGAAGAAAATCTAATGGCGTTTCAATGCGTTAGGACGGAATTGAAACTCGTAGAACGAATTTAGAATCAAGAAGCAGTGTTAGATTTTAGACAATATCTCATCAATTTGTGACTATTTATCAAATCCAACGGTACGTATGGAAAGGTGAATAAATTTGCAAGTCATCTTTGACAGAAATATTCCATTTTTTTTGTTTAAATTCGATCAGAAAAGAGAGGTAAAGCGCGGGCTGTGCTTAGTAGGACGGAAATTAGATCAAAAACCCTACTTGAGTTTGACGTGTGGGCATTCTTTTTTCGACTAGCTCGACAAAGGGCGTCTCAAAGGATTTTTTAACTAGTATTTTCAAGTCAGTCATAAACCAATCAAGAGCGCTCTTATTCAGTGATATTGCCTATTTAAAGACGCAATATGCAATTGAGAAACATAGAGAGTGTTGAAATCTTGGATACTGCAGGTATCGAAAAGCACTCGATTTCAATTATCATCCTTCTTGCAAAATTCTTGCGAATGGAACGGTGCATAGTCAGCTCAAAACACTGCATATTTTCAAATGGTACTTCTGAATCTCGTTCCAAATTTTGCTGCTTCTCTCTGGACTTCAAACTGTAAGCACTTAATTCCAAATTTACATGGTAGTGTTTTCTCTCCTAGGAAACCTAATGAAATTAAAGTTTGATGCAATTGGTTCCAAAAAATTAGAAAATGTCCAAAGAAAGAAATGTTACACACATGTTTCATGATCTGTTTAGATTTTCGTCAACTTCTTTTGACCCTTATATGCATCAAAAGTGTATTATTTCTACTTTTATACATTTCTTTATGGGGATTTCTATTGCTTACTACCATTGGAACAGCGTCATCTGTGTTAAAATAGCCTTGACTTAATGGTTCATTGCGGCGCAGGGAGCGAATGTAATACAACAAGCGCCTATGTCTTATTTGAATTCTTTACAGATTTGCTTACCACGACTGCATGCATAGGAGACGAAGAAAGGCTTAACACATTAGTATGTTGTATGAACAATGTATGAATGCGAAAACAAAAAGTTTCTATTGATATACACCACGCTCAAATCCAGTTTCTGAGTGTACAAGAAGCTCTTGAACTTTGAAGAATTTCGTCTCAGAGGTCCGTAAAATCGCATTAGCTTTAAAATTTGACACGACCTATTTCCGGGTCTTTAAATGGATTCCCGTTCTGCATTCTGAAGCTGAGGAATGAATGCTTCATTTCAAAAAATCGTTAGATTCGACATGAAAAATGAAACGAATTGAAGCTGTAGCGGCGCCGGTGGTGTAGTGATAAGCATGATTACCTCTCACCCCAGCAGGCCTGGGTTCAATCCCAGTCGGCGCCCTGAGGCATAACATCTCTGATCACGGCTTCCAAGTAAAGCCGTTGGTCCCCGGTTCATGAGTTGATGGGTCGATAGGTAGGGTCCAAGTGTGGGAGCTGCCCTGGCGTCGGTAATATTGGTTCTCAGCACGGAAAACAAGATCGACGGACAACAAATTAAGGGAAAAAAAAATGAAACACTAAGGACTAGAGGGCAGAGTGTCGTGGTGAGGAAATCCTATAAATTAAGCGTATTTATTTGGATCGCCGATAACCTTCACTTCATGACGAAGCCAACAAATATTGTTCCTAATCGCAAGCTCTCATCGTGATCTCTGCATGTTTGTTAAAATTACGCTGTGTACGCGAACATCCATCGTTCCAAGGATATTCATTTCAGAAAAGCACACCACTAGTGCCCACTCCATTCAAGGGTTTCTTTCGAAGAAGCACGCATATCTTCCCCCTAGCTTTGCCATAAAAATGTTGTTGACGTTATTGCCACTACCCACCATACACTTCAGTTCAGACAAGGACGCACTCATCTCACCATCTCACTAAACACTTCTTGATGGGAACGCATTTTCACTTTTTTATACACGCTCGTTCAATTGTATTCAAAAGTGAGTAACATTCGACTCATTTTCGTTAAAAGTGGAACTACCCTAAAAGTGAGTAATCTCATGTTTACTCACTTTTGAGTAATGAATGAATCTGTCAAAATCTGAGTGCATTTACTGATTCTGGTTTTTGGAAAATAAGCGGAACTGAGTAAATGCTGCTCAGCTTCGTAATTATTTATTCTTTAAGAATGCCATTTTATGCTGATAGGATGAAGATATTATCATCGAAAACATGAACATTTTATATTTATTCAACGTTTAATACATAAAGACTAACGCGATTATCACAATTATTTTTTTTTTTAATTTTTCACATCGAAGTTTGACTATCTGTAATAGTTTACTGGGCCAGGGGTTGAAACAGTTGATGTGTTTTACAACACTCGTTTCGTTGTCGTGCACGACAGTCTGTTTGTATTCGTACACTCATGCTCTACCGTCGTCTCTCTCACACAACACGAACGGTAGAATAACATTCGAGCTAAAAGAAAATTATCAAACCTCGCGCAACACGAGAAAAGGGCCAATCATTGTTGATCGATTCTCTTAAACGATTTTCGCAAATAACCCGACTGCAAATGAATTTCCCATTCAGTGTGTTGTTTCAGGCGCAAGCTAA